ATATTATATTATATTATATCATATTATATACTGTAGTAGTAAGGTTTGTTATAAGTGCATGAATAAAAAGTTAGTGAAATTACAGGAGGAACAATCTAATATAGCATTAATAGGTGCATTCATTGTGCATCTGAGAGAAGGAGGGGGAAAAAAGAAAGAGTTTTCACTCATTTTGGCCTAAGATGTGTTCAGGTTTCCAGGATTCTGACATCAGAACCCAGATAACACTGGTTAGAACCGTAGGGCTTTACAATAAAAGCTAAAATATTGACCATATGATGGCAAAACGTCTTTATTTTGTGGTTAACTTATTCTCTTCTAGCTACTCTCTGATGATGTTGGTGGTGCTGTGGAGGATGATCTCCTTCTTCTTGACAAAGACCGTGATCGTTCAGCACTGTAGGCAACATGCTTATCATAATTTTGTATCTGAGCCTCAAGGAAATCCCTCTGTTGCTGGCTGATCGTCTGGCTAATCAGTCCAGGGAGAGCTTGAATGCTACCAATTAAAGTTTCCAGTTTCGTTTCCAGAGTAACAATTCTCTTCTCAAAATCTTCGCTTCTTTCATTTAAGTCAGAAATCATGTCATACATGATGTTTTGAGTCTGAAAGGAGAAGGATGCAAACAAAGGTTTACAGAGACTTTACAAATGTAGCAAGCAGTACAACTTTATAAGGGTTTGTAAATGCTTTTGCACTTCACAGAAAAAAGGACATGAACATTATAACAATATCTAGTCTTGGAAATAATAATCCTTGTAGATTCAGAATAAACATTCTTCTAAATTTGTTGAGCAGAAAAGTAATTTGAGTAGCACTTTAGATCACAGAATCATAGAATTATAGACTAGTTTGTGTTGGAAGGGACCTTAAAGATTATCTAGTTCCAACCCCACTGCCATGGGCAGCGACACCTCCCACTAGAGCAGATCACTCAAAGCTTCATCCAGCCTGGCCTTGAACACCTCCAGGTATGGGGCATCCACAGCTTCTCCGGGCAACCTGTTTCAGCTTAAAGCCATTACCCCTCGTCCTATCACTACACTACCTGATAAAGAGTGTCTCCCCAACGTCTAAGTAAATTAGAGAAAAGACAGACATTTTTTGGAAGTTCAGGTGCTCAGAAATGCACCATGCTAAGCTCTGTGAACAGTCACTTGTGTAAGCCACCAGGAGACCAAAGGCTCCAAAGCCATGATCCGTCCTTGACTCTTCCGTATTTCCTCTGGTTTTAAACACCCACATTTTTCTAAGCAGAACACAAATGTTGTTCATTTGCTTTCTCCTTAAGCTGACCAAGTTTTCTTTAACTGGCTGTAGTAAGAGTAGTTGGGTGGATGGTTTTTGAAATGCAGTGCAAGAAGGAAAATCTCAATGGTATGCTTCTCTTCTTCTGTGTTCCCCAGTCTATCTGTCATCTACAAAACAATGCTTGGTGACAGCAATGTCATAGTTGTCAGTAAAAATGTAATATGAAATGTGTTATTTCACAGAGACCTGGAACTGGTTAAAAAAGATTAATTTCTTCCCTCTGATAGACTGAGACTTCAGATTAGACTTAAACTATAGAGTCAAACTGGATGTAATTCAGTAAACAAAATGGTTAAAATTTATGAACCATCCAAAGGGAATGAAAATGAATTGCATGACTGACTCCCCGAAGTGCAAAACACTTCAACAACAGATGAGTGTCGATAAACGATTTCTCTGCCCCCTGTTTCAAGATGCTAAATTAACCCTTGAAAGCAAAGTAGTTTACATTAAATAGTATCTTAAAAGTCCTATTAGTTTCCAGAAGCATTAGACTGAAATGTATTTTCAGCAACTAAAGTTGTCAAGTGGTTCTCTAAAATATAAGGGGAATGAACACTGAAGCATTTAATCTTTGCCTTGGTGCACTTTAAATTGAGGAGGGTTTTGAGGTACATGAAGAGGTGTACAAGAAACCCTTAGGAAAAGCCCATTAATGACTCTAATGTAGCCTCAAATTAAGATCAAAGTAGCTGTTAAATATAGAGGTCTAATGTGAAACTCGGAATGCTCTCGGCTCAGCCCTCTAACTCTCTAGTTATTATTTTATACTAATGAAAAAACCCAGCAAAAAACAGGCAATCAGTTTGCAACTGAATAGCCTCTTCTACCTCATCTCAAGTGGCTTAAAAAAGATTAACAAAGCCTTATGATATACTGGCAAATTAAGCAGCTACAATTTATTATAAAAACTTAAACAAGTGAAGACCTAAATTTACTTGACCAAAGTCACTGCTGTATGAGACAACAGGAACAGAAAACGAGAACCTCTAATTCCAGTCTGCATGAGTGTGTGTACTATGGCCCCTCACGGGACAGTTACTATCACTGGACAGGAAGTCTCTTTACTGTGCAGCACTACATTACTACAGCCTGCTTACAGTTCATCATTTAACATGACCACTGCAGTCACTTCAGGAGCTCTCTGAATCAGCCTCTCAATTGTGAAATCTTTTTCAAATGTAGAAAAAAAAATGTAGTACATTCAAACTTTGGTCAGAGCCATAAACAATATGTTTCATTCAGTAGGTGTTACCACAAACAGACACATATTTTCGTTTTCTACAAATAACAAACTTGTTAACAATATTTGCATGTATAATGCATAACATTTTCACTTATAAGCTCTTCATTTTGAAAGGATGAACGCTAAAACTACAGCAATTGCCTACTAACCTTTGCCAGGTCCACCAAAGTGTTGGCTTGATCATTCAGTTTCCTTTGTTCCATTTTTACACTTCTTAATCTAAAAAGTGGAATTTTAAGTCAGATTTTTTTGTGTCTGTGGTCATATTAGGATTTCTAAGATGCATGCACAAAATTTACAAGAGCAAATAACTGCATGGACAATGCCTTGAGTACTTTGTGTAAAGTCAGAATTGGTCATGTGCCTGCTACAATGAGAAGCATGCTTCTTCAACACCGCAAAAAAGGAAAGAGCAAGGAAATGTGATGTCCTTGAGAATACCATTTGTCATGGTCAAAGTTGAATTCAAAAAGGGAGAAAACAATTTATCCAGACTACATGAAAGAAAGCCAAAACATTCCTCAAAGCCTCGGTATCGTGACAAGTAGATATAGGAAGAAACATAGAACAACTGTTTTATGTCATTAATGTTGTAGCAATCACGAATCTTCCCATGCCTACATGACTAGATACAGGTATTAGCCCTGTTCTGTCGGAAATGGATTGGGTTAGCACGTGTTTGAACCTAATGGAAATACAGTGATAAGTGAGTTTCTTGTTACTTTAAACAGAACCTCCATCTGCCCAGCAGCTAAATAACCAACGTACTTGCCAATACATTTAATTTTCTTACATAATTTATTAATCTAAATATGATTATGTTTTAAACTTGTGTTAGCCATTCCTTTTCAATGTGCTGATAAAACTAGAGCATTAGAAAACTATGAAAGAAGCGGCAAGGATATATTTTTCTCTTTGATGCCTACCTATCCGCATTATTACTAGTTATGCACGTTCTTTGAAAGACATATACATGACCCTTCTTAAGTGTTCCCTGAAAGAAATCCATGCTTTTCAGATTAAATACTAGAGGAGTGGTTTGTAGATGCGATTTTCACAAATAAGCAATTTCTCCCTTAAGTACAGGTAATTTGTTCAACATTTCCCAACAGAGAATTACTTGGACTTTCAATGACTTTTCTGGTAGCTGTTCTAAGCAGGAAATATCATTTTTAAAAAGCAGCGTATCAATTTATAAATAATGGGCGATATACCATGCAGTCTACAGTATGTCAAGGGCCATCCAATCTAACCATCTGGTTAGCTATCAAATGAAAATAAGTTTGGCAGCATTTTGTGGCAGGTGGGTTGCTAATGCATACTCTACCTATTTCTCAGTGACTGTGTTACTTAGAAAGCTAGTTTAAAGAAAGTTTTGGAGATATTCCAAAACCAGGAGGTTTCTGTTCCAAGCTTTAGTTACTGACCATTTCCTATCCTATCTAGGCTAACTGCCATGAGAAAATAAGTTGTGAAGAGTGAAATATCTTTTAAAACACATGGAGATAACTCTTTTAGGTAGAAATCAATTGTTCACATGAAACTGACATTCTAGCAGCTTGTTACTGGAATGTCATATGCTCTTCCTCCCCTGGAGGATTCCTTCGGAGCATAACATAAATGCAGACTGTAGGAATCGTTCTTTCAGAGGCTATAAACTGGAGCTATTCTAAAGCAAAATATATGGAGGGGTCTCGAGGGTGCCGTGTTCTATCATTACAGTCTCAGAACAGAATAATTACTTAGAGGTAAGCATGTAATGATTTGAATGGAGAATGATAACTCAAGTGATTTGGTGAGCATTTCTCAAATAATTTGCTGAATATCTGTTTTTTGCTTTTCTTAAGATTCATTGACTGATCTGTTTGCCAGTTAGTATGGCAATTTTAAAATTCCAAGAAAACATAGAGTCATAGAATGGTTAGGGTTGGGAACGACCTTAAAGATCATCGAGTTCCAACCCTGCTGCCATAGGCAGGGACAACCTCCACTAGACCAGGTTGCTCAAAGCCTCATTGAACCTGGCCTTGAACACCTCCAGGGATGGGGCATCCACAGCTTCTCTGGGCAACCTGTGCCAGTGTCTCACCACTCACACAGTACAAAATTTCTTCCTAATGTCTAATCTAAATCTACCCTCCTTCAGCTTAAAACTGTTACCCCTTGTCCTATCACTAAGCTCCCTGATAAAGACTGTTTTCCCATCTCTCCTGTAGGCCCCCTTCAGGTACTGGAAGGCTGCAATAAGGTCACCCTGGAGCCTTCTCTTCTCCAGGCTGAACAACTCCAACTCTCTCAGCCTATCCTAGTAGAACAGGTGCTCCAGCCCTCTGACCATCTTTGTGGCGCTCCTCTGAATTCAGTCCATTGTAGCAATACAAGTACCAGTTGACACCAAGATGATAATTCCTTGTGGTAGCCAACCCAATACCTATCACAGAGTGCAAAAACATGTCTCTAGGTAATGGCAAGTCTTTAGCTGCAGCAGCTGGATTTAAAGAATACTGTCAGACTTTTGTTCTTAAATTCATTAAGAGTAAATATGAAACACCTTGATTTTACAAACTTCACTTATCACAGCAAAAGATCATGATTCTGGATCGCATTTCCATGGCAGCAATCAGACCACTTAAGTTCACAAATAAAAACTCTGTTTTTTGCATGCAGACAGTGGTAAATTCTGCAAATTTAGAAAGGAACAGCTCATACAACTTACTTCCGAGCTCTATTTTCATTTTGTTGAAATAAAAAGACAAAACAAAAGAAAACAAACTGTAAAATATACTGAAACAACCAAATGAGCACAGTGGGCTCAATTCAGAAGGTGGGAAGTCCTAGGGAGTTGCCACTTCGTTCAATCAATAGCTGCTTGAGGTGGACTCTAACTCACTTGCATTCCTGATGAAGGAACCTGCAATAGCTTCAGACCTTCCCATTAACTATCATCTGTAGATTTTTTTATTCATACAATACATAAAATGCCTTTTAATAAATTAGAGTGATGATTTCACCTTCATCTTATTTACTGTGTATGAGAAGCAAAAAAAACCCAGACCAGCTGAAGCCAGCACAGTCATGTATATTTTCAGACGTTCTAGAGCTGCAACCGTGAGTTTGAGACTGTTGTCATGATCTGCTCTAGTTTCTTGCATAAAACTGGCCCTGAAAGTTCAGTCCTTTTATTTCTGTTTCCAGTTAAATGGTTGGAAAGGTGAAGGAAGAGGACCAATAAAAATCTAAGAACCCAGAAAGATGAAGAAGAGCCACAGACTACCACGAGTCCCTTGAGAAAAGTTCAAAGATGCAAAGGGAGAAAAAATGATTTGCATCCAGCTACTCTGCTACAGATGGAAGAAACCAAACTGCTAGAGCAATGTTTCCATCCATGGAACATTCTTCAGCATATTGAGAAAATTATTATTTCTTTTGCTAAAATACAAAAGTTTGGGGGATGGGATGCAAAGCACTAAAGGACAGAGGGAAATGCATTATTAACATAGCTGTTCAAAGTTTGGCTGGCACAGCTAGGAAAAAATTACTGTTGCTACCTTCTTCTCCCCACCTGATTAATGAATTTTTAAGGTAGGTGCAGAACAACACTTTACATCTGTGAAGCTCTTCTGGCCTTGAATGATATATAAAGCTGCAGATCAAGCCTGCTGTGCTTTTTAGATTCTTCTCTGAACAAGTGTGTGTGTGCACGTGCACACACACACAGACAGACACATACACACACACAAAATAAATAGAAACGTTAAAATGTAAAGGAATACTCTTTGCAATCAAGGATTCAAGTCCAGCAAAGGATGCACAGGACATGCCATCCTCTATTCCAGAACGCCTGCCACTCCTCTCTATCTCCCAATCCTTTAAGCTAAGCAGGATGAACAAACTGGGAGAATACACTTTTTATACCCACATAAAAATGCCTCGACTTCTGTCCTCTCTTTATTCCTTCAAGTATTTCTGCAATAGCACAGTAACAATTAATCCTGCAAGTCTGCTAAATATAATACAGTAATCAAGGTTTACAGAATACTTCGTACCTTAAGCTTAGCTACCTGTTGCTTTAAAACATTGCTATGAAACAGAGAAACAATGACTGTTAGCCTAAATTTACTAAGAGGAAATACGATAAACTGTGCTTTCCTGTGAAGCGGCACACAGGTGTTCTTTTCATGATGGACACTTCCCTCACATCTCCTCACAGGTTGTCCCAGATCCGGACTCACACTCAGAAGTTATCAAAACATCAGTTTAAAATTAAAGTTACTTAATTTATCTAGATGTCCCCAGTATCTCATGGATACTAATTTCATAGGCTGTACGAACGGCTGCCTCAGGCTGGATGGGAACAATAAATAGAGCAGACAAATACTGGCATGGGTCCTGAACATTCCTCAAGTTGAATCTGTGGTTCTTGAAGACAAAAGTATCTATTTTTTTTCTCCCATGTAGTCCAAGGAATCATTGTGCAATGCTGCTGGTTTTGATGTGCTTTATGACAAATACATATTAAGAATTTTCAATCAGTACTTAAAGTCTGGCATACTCTTTTTTTTTTTTTTTTTTTTCTTGGTGTAATACAGTAAAACCTTACCTTTGTCTTACTCTCAGAGAAAAATCAACCTCACAAACAATTCTACGAAGGGTGAGGGCTGGGAGAAAAGGGAGGGGGCAGGACAGAACATGGGGACTAAGAGTGACTATGAGGGAGAGGAAAACTAAGAGAGAAACACCCGGAGAGGAAAACCAAAGCAAAATAGTACTTACTGATGAATAGCCTGCAAGAATTTGCGTTGATGTTTCCTTACTTTCGCATGGTCTATCTTTTTAACCAGCTTTGTGTTTTTATAAATTAACCATGTTTCCCTGAGTACATTGGCAGCTGCATTTTTCACCTGTTTAATAAAAGAAAAACACCATGCTGTCAAAAGTAGCGCTATGTCATATTTTCTCTTTTCTGGTATAAACTCCCTCTAAAGCACTTAAGACCTTGCCTAACTGTGGGAAGTGAGAACATCAAGAAGCCACAGCACTGAGGGCAGAGAAAAATAACTGGACCAAGGGGACTGCTGAACAATTTCTGTATTACTTATAGACATGATATTGGGACAAGCTCTCTTTGCATCAGGGAATAATTTGTCTGTCTTTAAAGAGATAGCAACATTTGGTGTTCATGGCAATATAAATTACACCAAGGATATACTAATGCATTATCTGTATGGCAATTAACTAGACGTATTTAATAAGATCATAGAATTTCTCTCTTTCTTGTTGTATGGTAAGTAGCTCTTAATTCTCTTAGCCATTTAACACTCTTTTAAATTTCCAGAGCTGTTTGAACACACTTTTTTCTTTACATTTTTATTCTTGTTTCTTTTTCACTGTTCTCTGAGGAGATTAAAAAATGTCTTGTCAATTAACTGGGCCAGTGTTCTATTTCATAAAAGCTTTGATTTTTTTTTAAATTAGGCTTTCCAAAAAATGTGAAAGATAAGAGTACCTACAGTTCATTCTTAGGCCCTCCAAAATTATCAAGAATGCCTGAAAACAACAGACAAAGAATTTCAATGCAATGTTGATTAATGACAGAACTATGAGGCTACTTGCAAAGGAAAACTGTTCTTATTATTCATCTTTATTTTCTCTCTTTCCAACTTTATGTCATGTCAGTTACTGCAGCATCCGAGCTAAGTCCATGTTGAGGTAAAGGCATTGCAAGAATGCCATGCAGTAGGTCTTCCCAGCAAGTGGTCCCCAGCTTGTACCTGAAGAAGTATTGAAGACCCTTGGTTCTGACTTCAGTGGAAGCACAATCACATTTTAGAGACTTCCTCACAACCTCTGTCTCATCCTTGCACTTCCACAAGATAGGACTATCTTCAGGCTGTGATGAAACCTCTCCAGTATCTGCGTATCCAATTTGTGACCTGATGAACATCTCAGATTTGTTTGCTTGGTTTGCTTCTCATGTGCTTTGAGTTTCATGAGTTTGATGCTACCAAAGCACCGCTTGGATATAGTATTAGACTGATATTCAGATTTATATGGAGGATAGCTAATAAAATAAACTTTAAAAGGCACAAATGAACACTAGACTCAAAATCTGGCCAATTTTTACAAAACCTTTTCCCCTCCTGATGATATTTTGAGCTCAGCTCTCAGATTACACTAGAGAAATGCCTTGTTAGGAAACAACAATTGTTTTATGTGATCTAGTATCAATAAGACCTTAACTGACTATAACAGGAGTATAATCAGCAAGCTCAGATAGACACCTCAAGTCATACACACTTTATATAAGAACTGCCTTCCTGCTCATCCTTAGTCTTTCCCCACCTTGACTGCTTAGGGGAGATACTGGCTGCTAGTGGTGACCAGCACAGAAATGAGGGAGCTGGAAGAACCAGAGTGGTGTGCTGATGTGTCCTGGAAACACAGCATGCAGAGACATGACATGGCTTTCTGCAGCAGAGGACCTGTGGCAGTGCAGCACTGCACCGCTGCACATTGCAGTGCTGAGGCAGCCAACCTACTTCCCTCCTGGAATGGAGCTGTGGTCTCCACTCATTAAGGACAAGCTCCGATGAGTTCCTGTTGTGAGTGTGAGGACCTTCTCCTCCGTATTGGCTCTTCTCAATAACAAAGATTAAACAAGGTGAGAGGACTGTGTAGCTCCTACTCATTTTCTTGTTCCCTCAACACTGACCTGTTTTATTTCAATAAAGGTTTTCTGTTGTTGGTGGCATTCTTTAATTTTCCAGGATGTTATTATAATTTAAATTATATTCCATAATGAAAATTTTAAAATATTTTTATGACTTCTAGTGATCTCTAGAGTTTTTTTAAAAATAATGTCTTCTAAAAATATTATTATCTACAAATATTTTTCAAGGCACTTTCGCACCATGTGCTGCTAAGGGAACCCCATGTTGAGTGCACAAGACAATTGCAAAGACCATCGCACTCACAAATGATGAATGCCTTCTTCTTAGAAAGATCCTTCATGGCCTGAAATTCTTGTATATAACAGCCATTTCACCTATTTTAGCTACAAAAATTTTATATATTCTACTCACATGCTGCATTAATTTTTTTTAGTTTAATATAATAGTCTTTAGTTTTACAGCGTTTAACTGTTGGTTATACCAATTATCTTCCAGCTGCAATGACTCTCTATAGAAGAATATTCAAATCCTCAAAATCTGTTGAGAACTCACAGTTGTTCTCAATTCAGAGAAAAACTCGAGGCATTCAATTCCTCCTCCTTGCAAAATCTCACCCATGAAAAATTTCAGTAGGAGAACGGAGCAGGAGACTATTTAAAACAAATGCAGAAATAAATTAACACACATTTTCTTTCCAGTGGTGAAAATGAAGTGTGACTTACTCTTTTAGTTAGCTGGGTGTCCATCATAAAATTGTGCACATGTTTTTCAGCTTTGGTAAGTTCTAATTTCCTTGCCACCACAGCTACCACCAGTGCAGTGCACCCAGCACCCTGAAAACAATAAAACAAACCCCCAAGACGTTAGGACTGCATTTTGCAGAGTTTTTACTGGAAGATTCTCCTTTGCTGTAGAAGCATGGCAGGCATCAGGTGATTCATCCCTGGTAAATCTAGTGAACACACTACAGCTACTTCAGTTCAGAGTAATAGGAAAAGACAGTAATTACAGGCTGGTAAACTGTCAAGGCATCAAAATAATTAGTTAGCAGCATCATTTAAAAGTTATGCTTTTTTTCCTGCAGGGGTTGAAAATTTGAACTCATCCCATTTCTAGGGTATAAACAAAGTGGGTGATCAAAACAACTTTTAAAACCCAGAATACTAGTAAGTAAATGCAGAATACTTGTTCTTAACAATTGTCTCAAGGTTACAGCAATTGATAAAGAGAAAATAATATTAGATTAGTATTTAGCACACACAAAAAAAAGTTTCTTAAGATTTTCCATGGGGCCTAAAAATAATAATAAATTTAGTACTAATCACTTTAGTATACTTCCCTGTTGTTCCCTGAGTCCCTCAACAATCTTTTCCTATAGTATTTTTGCTTTTCTTATTACGACTTAAAATAGCATACACAAGACCATTTCCTCAAAACTTGGATGGAGAAAATATTAATTTTTCTAATTTGTGCTGTGTATATGTATTCATACGCGTGTATACACATAGACATGCATGTTCACAACAGGCCAAAGCCATAAGATGCCTGTCCCTTTGAAATGACAGTGCCTTTGTCAGCATCACAAATTGGAATGTTTTTTAGAGGGGAGGAAAAGAAAGGAGGCTAAAATGACCCAGGCAATGAGAAGCAGCATTTATTAGACACATCTGGAGGGATAATTTACCTTAGACTATTACATTCAACTGACTTAGTCTTTTTTTTTTTTTTTTTTAACAAATGTTTACAGTTCTTTTTACAGAAGTACAAAAATCACCTTAAACATATAAGTCTGAGTTTAACTTGCAGGTTCACCCCAATCTAGTTGTTATTGCACCTGTGTTAGTTATGCTCCAGTATAAAGCAGTCTCTTGTTGCACATTGAACCTTACCACTTTTTCTTTTGCAGACTTTTTTTCATTCTCAGTGTTTCGCCTATTAATTTACTCTGGCCCTGTTCCAGAAGAAATCACTCAATCAAGCTTCCAAAATACAAATTCCATTAATAAACACATAGAGACTGCAAAACAAATTAACTCATTGGAAACACTTATTCACATATTGTCCTCAAAAAAAAGAATCTGCTCCCCCTGTTACTTACTGAGGCACCCAATGAATTTTGTGAATGTCTACAGTTAATTAATTCTCCATTTCCCTGGTACATTGTTCCAAGAAATCCATCTGCTCCTTCACAAACACCTAATTGTCTGCAATTAGTTCTCACCTATCAAAGTTTCTACATCCAACAGCTCTCAATATTCCCTTGAATGAGTCCCTTGTAATTTTGCTGCATTTCCTGCTTCTCTCCTGTCCTCAATACTAAGCTTTCTAGCTTTGCTGTTTCCTCTCCTTCTGTTCTCCAACCCCGTGTTGATAGAAGTTAATGGAAATTTACCTGAAGTCTTGCTCTCTCCATGACATGAGTCAAAATGGGGCTTTAAGTTCATTTGCTTCTCTAGATCCCACTAAGTTAAAAAAGAGGAAGACAGCCAATGCATCTTAAGGCTGAGCACTTCAGAAATGCACTTACCCTACTGAGAAGAGGACTAGGCAGGAGGTGCTCTACCATATGCCCTACCTCTCCATGAAATAGATAGCTCGCCTTTAGTCTCCTTCCTGTGAAGAAGGGCAGGATGGAAGTGCTAATATGCAGAAGACTTCTCTGCAGGCAAATAAATAAATCAGTTACCCCATACAACAGTTAGAACATGAAGAACAACCTTTTGTTCTAGGATGTCAGGATAACCAGGGCCAGATGTTGATTTAATGACAGAACTTGAGTTCTGTCTGCTTACAGAAGAATGCTAAAACGGAATGAGATTATTAATACAGACACCATGGGCAAAGTGGCATATAAGCGCTGTTTATGCCAAATTACTGGGTGGAGAGGTATTAGATTCCCCTTCCCAGCCCCCCTCAAAAAAGGCTAGAGGAATGGTGACAAAAGCAATTCGGTTTGAGTAGAAATTACTCCAGCCTTTGCATTGAACTCCCATGCTTTTTCGGAGTGGCACGCCAGCTATAAAGGCCAAACGCTGTTAAAAACAGTAGTTTATATCTCACATGAAAGACACTGCCTGCAGCAGAAGAATACTGTCACCAGCAAGCTATGGGTGTATATGCACTGCTATCTTCCTTATCACCAGAACAGCTTAGTGCAACGGCAAGGTATTCTAGATTCAAATTTCCCCTCTTGGCTTTCTGGGATCTGATGGGATCTCAGTATATGGAAATGAGCTCTTTCAGCATTTCTGCAAAAGAAGGAAGTATTATACTATCTGCATGTTTATGTTTCGCAGTACCTTGAAGGAAAACAAATTACACTCATTATTTTAACAAGTAACAGCTTATAGAAATAAGATTGAAATGCCACTTAAAGTACACGATGCTAATTAATATTTCATGTTACAGTGCTCTGCACCATTATATGGCTCCCCTGAAGATCTCAGCATCCTTAAAAATACTAATAAAGTGAGAATTATTCCAAATTGCCGAAATGACATAGAGGCAGCACAGTTACTTTAAAAACGGTAGCATTGTAAGCGTCATACCTGCCATGATTTTGAATATCCTGATTCACATGAAAATGAGTAGGATGAATTCAATGAATGCTCAGGTTTTTTCCTTATATCTTTACTACATAATACAGCAGCTACTTTTTTATTAAAATGACTTAGGCTAGGTAAAAGCATCACAATAATTATTTTAAATGCCAGAAGAGCTCTTTTGAGAATAAAATTCAAAAAAGTCTTATATTTGATTACTGCATTTTATAATTTCCAACATCTTTTATTGTTTTATTCTGTTTTGATAATAAACTGAATCACTGCCTCAAGCTCTTGCTTAACTTTTATTAACTTTGTATAATACAAAGGAAATGAAAAAGGCAGTACAGTCTTGAAGCATAAGGTTCATAGCCATTTACACTGGACAGAACTTGCCTTTACTGTCAATCTGTATAGCTGCTGTCCTGTACGAAAATATTTTGATGTATCTGCAAAAAACTTTACAATGTGATTCATATCTTTAATTCTGAACATGCTGCTCCTGTTCAGGACAGAGAAGGATGCCTTAAGTTCAAATGCTCTTGCAGGTAAGAAATAGTCCATGAAAGCCATCCTTCGGTACCCTCTTTGATGCCTAGAATACAAAGTGAGTTGCTCTGACAGAAATAAGTATATGTGGGTATTTGACTCACATATATACTTAGGTACTTGCTAGACACTAGTAGGCTAATTATTTTTTCAGTTACCCAAGCCTAAATGATGACTGATGTTCCTTAGAAAAATTAATGAAAGAATGGACGAAGTGGAGTGAAAAAAAAAAAAAAGTCAATAGGCATTTGCTTTTTGACATCAAGACCACATTATTTGAAAACAGCAAGAGAAGAAAGGTGAAATTAATTGTATTTTAAGTTATACTTTAAATTTAGCAACTGAACAAAATGCTTAAATATGCCCTTCAGAACAAAATAGCTATTACTTGGTGTTATCTTTCACTTTACCCTTAGGCATCAGAAACTCCAACTTTCCCTATCTGTCTGCACAGTCTGTCCTCTTGGCACTTAGTTCTTAATTATTCCCTTTCATCTGCTTTAACAAAGCAAATTATCTCTTTCTTAACCATATCAGAGATTGTTGCAATGGTTATTTTCTTTGCCTGTCATTTTTACAATCTTACTCTGCTCTGTGTCCCCCTATTCCCTTCTCATGGCATCACATATAGAAGGACATTTGCCCTCAGTTGCAACATTTTATGACTCCAGGCTCTTCCATCCCATAGATTTGAGCTCTAATAAGTCCTTTCACACAAAATCCTTTATATCATCTCTTGACTTAGGAAAAGCTCCCTGAAAACACATGTAAGTCTAATATATAGTTGTCTTTCAAATTCCTCCCCTACTTTTTTAGGATATTACTTACTACAAAGCCTAGTAAAACCAGTTGAAGGCAATTGAGATTCTGGTGTGCCAAGGTTGTTTTGATCCTACATAATGCTTCCTTGTTCACCACTCTTTTTGCTTTGTGGAGATGGTAAACTGTTCAGTAATTTGAACTATGTATTTCTACTATCTTTATACTGTACTGGTATCAATAGGTTCAGGTGTTAGAGCCCTGAAGTGGAAGGAATATAAATAATAATAAATAAAGATGGTAGGTCTGTATTAACCAATTATACCATACACATCAAAACACTAGACCTGACTTTGCCTTTTTTTCCTCCTTCAGACCCTGCTGTGGTTTGCCAAGATTATGTATCAACATACTTACTATATACTGTAACAGCTGAGATGCCTTTAGCAGTCTAATCACAGCCCTCTGTCCTCTTCACTGATGCAGTCCATCCTGAGCTTTCCGTTGTTATCATCAGAACCACCAGACCACAACGGACTACCTTAAAGTTACCACAGAGAATTTTCCATTATGGTAAACTACAGCAAACATAGCCATGGAAGCTAGACAGAAAAAGCTAGTGTTGCCCAAAGTATCTGATGAGGGTGAGGCTATGAAGTTTGGATCAAGACCGTGCCTTTCCTACTGCTCACACATGCTAAGCCTAAGGGTTCACACTGGTGCAATAGACAGTGATTGCAAAACTGCAGGGTTCAGGCTTCAATAAATCTAGCATTTGCATCTAACATTGCAGTAAAGGCCCAGTTTTAGTGATAACCAAAGAGAGGTGCTTGCGACTCTGCAACTAAAGGGTAATCTAAGGGAAA